TTTTCTGGTTTGCATCTAATCTCAAACAGTTCCACACATCAAGTGGGCTGTTTTTCAACTAACTCCACTCAAGAAAATAGCAGCAAAGTGAAGACTGATCACAAAAAACCATCCAGCTTAGTACTGCACAACCAAATGTTTAACTTGAACACCTCTTCCACAAGTGAAAAGGAAGCCCCCAAATACAAATGATGGCATTGTCTTCTACATCCATTCTCTTTGCATTAGATAGTGGGACACCACTTTCAAACAATGATAACAATGATATTTCCTAACAAAGACTTCAGATTTACCGCTACTACTTCCACCTCGCCCTCCACTATTTCAACTAATGCCTTGTCTTTATCAAAAGGAGTAAGGATTACTGCACCCTTAAGCTCCAATTATTTTATTATCATTGCTTTATCTTTTTCTAGGCCTGAGAACTTACACTGGTCTCTCCAGTCCCCTTTCTCACCACTTGCTATCATTTTGAGCTTACCCCTTCCTTGCCCTGTTAACAATAGTTCTTTAGTCATTCCAGCTTCTTTGGACCTACTCTGTTCTTCAGTTCTTCAGCTCTATTAGCCACCTCTGATTCCTCTTCTTCATGCTTCAAGAACTTCTGCAAGACTCTAGAATCTCTTTCCATCAGTCGCTTTTTCTTCCCTCAACAAAGCAAACAACTTGTTTTTACCTTTCCCAAAGAATTTGTAGAGAGTTATGTATCTCCTCTTTGCATTTTCCTTTCTTTCTGCAATATAGTTCCCTTCATCTACTGCTTTCAACTTCCTTCAATAGGTATTTCTTGCTGAAAGTAAAGCCCCCTCTATGAATTGTAGACACCATTCGATTGCCTCCCTGCCTACCAACAAAACCATCGCCATGTTCATTTCCCTGATCTTGAGTGTTGCCTTTCCTTCAATTCTGCATCCCTTGAACACAAAACTCTTACCTTCCATCTTCAAACCAAATTTTCAAAAACTAATTCTCTTAAATATTTTTCAGTAACTGAAATTTTATTGATTTGACATAAAAGAATAAATGGATTACAATGTTACAAATTAAACAAGTCAGCCCATTTTGGTAGACTAGCCCCAGCTATCTACCCCCCAATAACTCTCTTAAATTATTTAAACCCATAGTTTCTTCATTCCCTCCAAGTTATGGCTATTTTTTATCATTAACAGAATGATTATATAATGTATACAAAGAAAAATGGAATCACCCTAGTCCTTAGTTTAGACCCCCAACTACCTTTTATTCCTAACTAAACCAATCATCCTCTAATTGTCATCTCAAATCATCCTATTCCATTACTTCTATCAGTCCATCATCTTTCCTGGACTCCATATTACCCTCTAAACCCAATTAAGAGTGAATCTTGTTTACTTTGTACAGCAGTTCAACACCTATTCAATATAATCCCCTTAGGCTGCCATCCTCTATTGGCTTGACAATTCAAGACCTTCCAGGATTGGAGATTTTGCCTAGACAGTGAAAGACAAATCATTTGGACCTTTAGAAGTCCTGTCAGAAAGGCTATTTCCACCAAGACACAGATGAAGGCCCTACTAATCACATGAGAGGTGCCACTTCTTGTGCGTCAAATTTATCCTCAATTCCTCATATATAAAGATTTGCCAATGATATTAGGTCTAGGTAAGGTATTTTGGTAAAGCTTTCTGGAAACCATCATGGCATCACCACTTGCTTAACGAGATTCCACAGCTCCTGTGTATATGATTTCCATGCTGTATTCTGAAATGGATTCAATTATTCAAAAGAACCACTATGGCACAAACTAACAGTTTACCATGATCTTTGGGGGAGGGGGGTCCTCTTACCTCAGCTGCAGACAATTTTTTAACTAAATAGAAAAAAAAATATATATTGAAAAGAAAGGAGGAAAAGGTGATAAGAAATCACTCACAACAAAGAAAGAAAGGAATAATCACCCAAGAAAAACCAAACCCCTCCAATCCCCTTGAAATGCAAAAAAAAAGAAAAAAAAAAGAACTTTCCTTTTGCTAAGCCCTATCAAAAAATTGTCTGTAGCTGAGACAATTCATTAATTCCACAATTCGATGAAGATTTTTTCCATACTCTGTCAAAGGATTCTGAAGAAACAGTGTATTTCTTATTCCTTTTCTTTTATAGGTAACAGTATCAGAATTCTATTAAAAGAAAATAAAGGAAGAATAACAGAGCAGTTGCCTAAAACATAAAATGAGAAGAAATCCTTGACTGTAGCACAGGACCCTGTTTCAAATCCCCCCTGTGAACTCCATCTCTGCCCAACAAGTTAATCACACCATTATCTGGTTTTCTAATCCAGTGGTAAGAAATCACAGAAGATATACAATAATATAACAGTTTATTGCTTTGAAAAATCAAGAAAATATATAAGCAACCACTTCAAAGAAAGGTATGGCTTTTGTAGTCAGATTAGAATAAATCTCAGAATAAAAGAATATAAAGAACAGAAATAGGGCTAAAAGGAGAGGAGATCAAACTGAACTGATCTCTTAACTTCTGCCCATCTCTATTTATTATAACAATATGGTATAATTTGACTACACTGCCCATACTTAAATAAAACAATGAAAAGAATGACATTTATATCCTTCCGCCTATACAACAGCTTCTAACACTTCCCCTCAAGCTGGAGCAAAAAAGCCATAGAGCTCCAGCTTGCCATAAATGTAGTCCATCCTTGCCCAGCTGAGACCTTTGTAAAGAGATCGGATACATGTTCTTCTGATCTCAGGTTAGGAGTCACAATGTCACCACTTGTGACTCTCTTACAAAGTGGCAGTTTACTTCTATATGTCTGGTTCTTTCATGAAATATTGGATTATAGGATAAATGGATAGTAGCTTGATTGTCACTGTTGAAGTTCGGCCTGCCCTAGAAGTCTGTTTGTCCGTTAGCAGTCAAGTAAAGCAAGCAAGCAAGAAGAAGGAAGAAAGAGAGAAAAGGTCTGGTTCGAATTAGGGAAAAATTCAACCCTCCTTTCGGCCAGACCTGTTATTATATTATTAATGTGATAGGAAAAGACATCAGTGCCCTTATTTAAGTAAGAGGCACTCGAACTAACATAATAGAACAACTCAGCAATCTCAACAGGTACAAAGACCGAAATACCACTTCATTAACAGTCACAAAATACTTGATGAGCTTAGAAATAACCACTCCAATATCTTAAAGTAGATGCTCCAACCAGATTACACAAGTGGTATGAGCCATCGCCCTGTACTTCGCTTTAGCACTACAAGCAACCACACTCTGCTTCTTACTCTTCCATTACCCAAACACATGAACTGATAGAGTACTCAACTGTTAAATCAACTAGCCTAAACATACTCCAATTCCCACTTTGAACTGTCGAATAGAGGAATCTCAAAACTCCACTCAATCAACACAAACCAACCCAGGCTGAGGCACGAAAGCCCTCCTATCCTTGATGCGATCAGTCTAGAAAAATCAATTGGTAATTCTTCTCTGCGTAGAGGTAAGAATCTCCTATGCGCAGGGCTGGGGACAAAAAAACTGAAACCTATCCAGGTGATTAATGGTGCTCTAATACCATGTAATCAGCCTAGAATAAATCTCAGAATAAAAGAAAACAAGGAGAAAACAAGTTTGAAAGCAAACTGGGTAGTAAGAAGAAGAGAAGAGAGAAAGAGGAGGGAGAATAGAAAATAGGACTAAAAGCAGATGAGATCAAACTGAACTGATCTCCTAACTGTAAAACATCTCTGTTTATTATAATAATATGATATGCATTGACTAAACTGCCCCTACTTAAATAAAACAAAGAAAAAATGACATTTATATCCTGCTACCTATACAAACAGATTCTAGCACTTTTCAAATAGTACTACAATTTCCATCTTGGTGTACTTGATTTTTTATCAGTAAAGGATAATTTCCATGTATGATTGTAAGAATGATGTAGATTAACCTGTAGCAATGAATGATATCTTTACCAATATTACAAATGAGTTAAAAAAAAATGAAGCACAGTAGGAGGCATGTCAAATACTCCAAACCTGTGTTATAAAACTATGAGCACCATTAAGACCCTCCTCTTCCCCAGTGTTAAACAAAAATATAACAGCATTTTTAAATCCATGAGCCCATTGAGAAATCCCCCGGGCAAGTTCCAACATAACAGCAACACATGAACTGCAATCACCAGCTCCTTCCCTGAAAATCAAAGAAACTGTTCCAACTTAAACAACAAAAACAGGAAAAAAAAAAAGCAAAGATTATACTGATCTTGTCTCCCAAATTTCCTATGCAACAATTATGGACAATTAAGGGGGAAGATTGTCAGCATGTGGATTAGGAAATGATAAACAGAAAGACATACTAACTTAACATAGTTTGGTTTGGTAGCTTCTCACTTCCTCAAATGACCATAAAAGACTTTAAATAGAAGAGCCCTTTAATTCAACATAGAAACACATGATCCATAGGGAAACATAACCCATGACTTAAACAATAGAAACTTGTAAGACCTAAATTACCCTAATGGATATAAGCCAGAAATAGCCCTAACCATAAAGCCCAATATCTGATCCATAACCCAGACACAGTACCAAATCCATATATCAGACACAGACCCTTGCATGTCTGGTCAACTCTCCAACAGAATGAATGGTCTTTAGGATAATTTTTCTTGCATACCTTCGCCTTTTTGGGCTCATCATGCATGGCCTGATCCATACCTTCGCCTTCATGCAAAAAAATGTGAAATGTTAGGATTGTATCCAGTCCACCCCACCCAAGGCCCCAAATATCCGGAACCAACACTGGGTAATGGTCTTTTTATTAGTACCTAGTTTCAAAATGAGGAATATAGGGAAGGATTGAGACTTGATAAGGGACAATCAATTGTTTTTTATATGGGAAAATTAATTGTTAATGAGACTCCTTGTCATCAACCAAAAATTCATGAATGGAACATTAAGTATCCAAGATATCTTACGCCCACAAAATCTTTTCTCCTTCCTTTTCTATGTTCTGATGAATAACATGGATCTATTCGAAAAAAAAAAGAAATAGAAAGAAGGAAAAAATAAAATGGGCAATGATCCATAAGCAGGGGCAATTGATGAGCCAATAAATAAAGAAGAAATGATGTAAAAATGTTCTGAACTTGTTTGTTTTGAAGTAGGATGCCAAATAGTTGTTTTTGGTGGCTTTGTTGTCAGTTTGGGCCCAGGGGTATTTTCGTCATTTTTTAATTTAGATTCTAGTAAGGGCAGTTGGGTGCACATCCATTGGGTTTTGGTCTCTTGGGTATTTTGTAACAAAAATTATCTTTTGGGGGTTGTTCGAAATTAATTTTTGTTCCTATGGAGTTGTTTGTGAAGGGGGGACATTGTAGGGGCTTTTGAGTAAATATCTTAGTTGGATTTTCCAGCCAGCTATTAAAAGAGAGGGGGCTATTTCTGTGGGGGTCTTTTGGTTTTTTTCTCTCTTATTTGAGTTGTAACTCAACCCCAGCTAGGGTTTTCAAGTATTGGGAGTTTGGGTTTTGAGTAGTTAGCCCATTTGGCGCTTTCCAATCCCTCTATCACCGTGTTCGCACAAGAAACTAGCTTGACACCATTTTTTACTGTAGTAGAACAGTTCCGAGAGGAGTTCTAATTCAAGTTCAGTTTTGAAACCTACAAAAATCTAGTTTGGAGCAGAATACCACTAATACCTGAGTTTTGAGTAGTCAATCTTTTCTTAATCCTCTCTATTTATTCCTATTTGTATTTGTTTTTTTTATCAGTAACGGCAGAATTTATTAAGAATAAGAAACTTTAATTACAAGAGAGGGGGGAGGTAAACTTTCTTAACTCCCCCATTAGAGCAAAACAAAGGATACAAAATTAGAAATGATCCCAAAAGAAAGATCCCCTTCCCCTATTCACCCCTTGCTTGTCTAGCCCATCAGCAAGTGAGTTAGCAGTTCTCTTTACCCAACTGTATTTCACCTCAATGTCCCTAGTCGGCCACTTAAGCTTTTTCTTTTCATTGATGTAGTTCCAGATACCAGAGTTATCTTCCTTTAGCCATCTCACCACCACCTCTAAGTCACCTTCAATAACCACTTTCCTTAGGTTCAACTCCCTTGCTCTTTGGGCACCTTCCAGAGCCGCAAGGATCTCAGCGCTAAGAGAATCTCCTTCTCCAATAGGGCCTGAGAACATGGCTATAATAAGCCCTTCCTCATTCCTAAACACTCCCCCTAAACCAGAGAGACCTGGGTTCCTTAAACTATTTCCATCAAAATTCAGCTTTATGAATCCAGGGGGGAGATGCCTAAGAGGGAGAAGAAACCTTATTAACCTGGGCAAAATTAGCTATTTCTAACCAATTTCTTAGCAAGTCATCAAAGGAGAAAACTATGAATAGGTTCAGGGATTTCAGCCAGCGAGCCACCCTTAAGTGTATGAACTCCATTACATTCTCAATGGTTCTTTCCTTTTTCTGAGAAGGTACGTGAGTTTCTTTCTTCCCAGATAGACCAACAGACTTCAGCCCTAATACATCTCCACATAATTCTCCCTCTTTTTAAAGGCTAACCAAAGTAAGGAGAGAAGAAGCTTTGCACATTCAAGGGGAGGGGGTCCAGCTACACCCAAAAAGGGAGAAAACCCATTCCAAAATAGTTCTAGCAAACAAGCAAGACCACAAGAAATCAATAGGTGGTAACCAGTTCCCCCTTCAACTTTGCAGAGAATACACCTATGTGGGGATAGACAAGAATTGGGTCACTTTCTTTAAAGCAAATCATTGTGTTAATTCTTTCCAAGAATGTTTCCCAACAAAAACTACCAACCCGAGGAGGAATGGGCTTGCTCCAATCCTCTTTAACAGGGAAAGACAAGACCACTAGAGGCAGAAGGCTGAGATAAGGTTTCAAAGAATGAAGCACAAGAGAAAGTACCGAAGGAGGACGGGGTCCAAATTCTGATATCATCCTTAGAGGGATCCAAGAAAACATTTTCAAGAATGGTTAACAGGTTCAAAGTACTCCCAAGGTCTGTATCACTAGCAGTCCTACTCAGAAAATTTTTAACCACAGAAGAAGACAAACAAAGGAAACATACGTTGAGAAAACAGTATCAATGTGAGAAGAAACCAGAATTGCATTTTCTTCTGCTTCTGATCCATATTTTGGCAAGATTCGCAAGACCACATGTTTAAGATCTGAATACAAAAGTGTTTTCCCCTTAAACAAGCCACTGACAAGACGATTTGCACCAGATTTTGCATGGAAGATATCAACTTGAACATCAACCTCCCAGTGTGCCATTTTCTTAATCTCTTCTGATGCGGCCAAAACATGCTGTCATAGAAACATGTCAAAAATCAGAAGTCAAAAGCATTACTCTACATGAAAATTACAACTTAAGAACAAATTGTTGAAACAAATTGTTGCAGAAGTTAAAATCAGTTGAGTAAAGTTGGAAACAGAGTAAGTCTCCTACTCATCCTTGGAACTACATCAACATCAGTTGCCTAAAAGACATAAGGTATTTATATTTATATAAAAAATGGTAGATTTATTCCCTCTTGATAGCATACATCCTTGTTACTCATTAGAGAGAGATGGAAAATGTATGATCAAGGACATCAAAAGTACTAACCAAATAAAACAATTAGTCATTCAATGGAAGAGTATATCATTCTTAATTAGTAAAAGGACTTGCACATCCTTGGAACTTTAGAAGGGCATTGAAATACTAATTTAACCACATTTTCCATTTTTCCCTCTCATTATACCCTTCAACAGTACTTTGCCACAAGTTCATAGTGCGGCCCTTGCAATGTTTGGAGACATTGAAAGGAACTTCACCTATTAACTTTGCTTACTCCTTGGTGATGCAGGCATAGGAGCAAGGAAAATAACTAATTGAGAAAGAAATCAGTTTTCTTCTAATTCTTCATCCAATGTCAATTTTGTAATTTTTGGATGCATTGGATTTTAATATTTTTATAATCTTTTCAAATTTGTTTTCTAGTTTGTCAGTGTCTAAGGAATAGGGTTAGTCATTTTAAAAGTTAAATAGTATTAGAGAGGCTTGAAATTTGTGAAAAATTGGTGCAGTGTCATTTTTTCTTTCAGCCTATTTTTCATGGGTCAAAACTTGTCTGTTTTACATGCTTTTAATGTAATTGAATTATTTATCCCAGTGTTTTCAACCTGTAGCTGGCCCAAGTGGTTGATTGCAAAAACCCATTGACCAGGTGATCAATCCATTGAATCAGTTGGCCCATTTAGCAGGGACAGGTCAGACCACAGCTAAGATCCAACTGATTCAATTGACTAGGATTAGGAACTTTAGTTTCCCCAGTATGCTTCACCCCTGTAACACTTAATACACAGTCACTCACTATCCTCAATGGCATTGCAGCAGCATGTCGGCACTGTTCAGCTAGCAGTGACAACCTGTTCAAAGTGTTGATAAGGGTATTAAAGACCAGATCCAGACAATTATAGTAGTATGTTGATCAAAAAAATTATAGTAGTGGTTAACCACAAGATTAGCAACTAGATCTGGGAGCAAGTAGCAGAGACAAGAACGATCGATGGCATCAAATAGAAGAGGTGGCCAACAGTTGCAAGTAGAAAAGGTGGCTGATGGCAGAAAAGCAGTGGCTAATGGGAACAGAAGCAATACCACCACTGTCACCACCCCCTCATCCTTCTCCAATGGCATATGAGCCATGGAGGCATGAACAAAACAGTCAGTAAGAAGCAGCAGCAGCAGCAACATATCTCTCTCCAATGGCAGATGTGTGTGTGTATAAATGTAAACATTACCTAATATTTTAATCCCAAGGCAAGATCTCTGTCTAATGATGTTATGGATTGACCCGTTCAACCCGACCTAGATTGAGTCGGGTTAATAGGATTAATGTTCAACATGAGTTTCCAACTTTAGTAATTTCAGGTTTCAGGACCCATTGTTTGAATACTAATTAGGGAGGGATATAAATATCAGCATGGGAAAATAAATGAAATCTTCATTTAAAAAGAGGCCTGCATGAGGCTGGTCCTTGCAAGAACTTTAGGAAAGTGTACAAGAGGAAGGTGGTGAAGGATAATGCCAGACTGGCTAAAACAGCATGGGAATTGAATAAAGTTCTGAATGCTTATCTCTGTACTAATCCTTCAAACAACGGTGTTGGAGGGGGAGGTCTTGTGATAGAATATCTAAATCATGGGATCAGTGTTGGCAATACTCAAGATATTGCTGTGTAATCTTTGCTTCCTACTGGAAATGGTTTGGTGATCAATGTCCAAGAAACATTAGCTGGTAGTGGTTGTAGGAAGACAAAATATAGAACTACACCTGCTTTCAATATGTTGGGTGTAATGGTTAAGGTATAGGACTGTTATTGGATCAGGCAGACCTAACAGAACCAAACCAACCCAACCCCATTATATAGGATCTAGGTCCGATTACATGCCCTGATTATAATTGGCTTGGTTCTGGGTTTTAATATTTTGCCCCAACTAAATTGGATTGGGATCAGTTTTTCCGTTTTGGTTGTTCCAAACTGATTAGGACCCAAACTACATGCATACATATATGATCAGCAACAAGGAACAAAATTTTATTAATCAGAATATGATTTGTGCAATGCAAAGGGCATAGCCAAGCCATCCAACCCTATAATGATATTTATAATTTAGCCCAAAACAGTTGATCTCTATTCACCCCTTGCTTAGTGTTATGGATTTTGTGTAGATTTATGAGTCAATTTTGTTTAGATAGGTAGTGGGGACCACAGCACACTTGTTGGGACCCTTTGGAGTGTTTTGAAGTGCCTTTTTTAAGTTCTTTGTACATATTTTTTACTTTAAGTATAAATAATAATGAGAGGAGCAGCCAGATCTGATTGTTCTCTCATTCTTTTCTCTATTCTTTCTCTCCTCTCTTCTCACAAAAACTCTTCTTTTCTTCATCTTTTTCTACAGTTTTTTATTTCTGCAGATTTCTACTTGGTATCTGAGCAGGATTTGAGTTTTTTTCTGTGCTCCCATCATGCAGCCTTAGATCAGCCAACTGCATGATGAGTTAGAGGGCTGATCGAAGACCTCAAAGGTGGCCGGTTTTTTGTTTTTTGTTTTTTTTTTGGTGGATCTAGAACCCCTTGTAGCAGATCTAGGGTTGATCACCAAAATCAGGAAGAAATGGAGAAGGGGGAAGAATCCTGATTGCAGTAGGACTCTTCATTTTTTACCTGCGAAGGAGTGCTCTAGATTTTTTGGAGGCACTAAATAAGATGGAGTGAAAGGCATTAGAACCAAATAATATTCAAATAGAGGCGTGAGAAAGGTATGGGAGAGGTAGGTTTATTATGGCTAACTAAGCTATTTAATAAGATAATAAAAGAAGAGAAGATGCCTAATGAATGCAGAAAGAGCAGTATGGTGCCTATATTTAATAATAAAGGTGGCATACAAAGTTGTAAAAAACTATCAAGGGATTAAACTCATGAACCACACTTTGATACTCTGGGAGAGAATAATTGAGCAAAGGTTATTAGAGAACCAATTTGGGTTTATGCCAGGAAGATCAACCATGGAAGCCATCTTTCTATTGAGACAATTGATAGAAAAGTTTAGAGAGAAGAGAGATCTCCATATGATGTTCAATGATAAGCATAGTCACCAAAGAGATAATATAGCGGATCTTGAAAAAGAAAGGAGTCCCTAGTAGGTATATAGATCTAATTAAGGATATATATAAGGGTGCAATAACCAATGTTAGAACACTTGTGAGAGAGACATCAAATTTTGCAGTTACAATGGATCTTCACCAAGGTTCATCACTTAGTCCTTATTTATTTGCATTGATCATAGATGAATAATAAATTCACTAAACATATTCAGGAGGAGGTTTCATGGTGCATATTGTTTGCTAAGGACATTGTTTTAATTAATAAAACTAATGAAGGATTAAACGCAAAGTTTAGTTTATGGACAAATACCGTAGAAACAAGCGTTTTAAAATAAGTATGACTAAAATAGAATATATTATATGCAATTTTAATAATAATAATAATAATAACAATAGTAACAATAATAGGAGCGCAAATGAGAATACACTTAGGATTGGACTCATTGAAGACCAAGAGATAATGCAATGCGACCTTTCCCTGTACCTTGGTTCAATAATTCATAACAAGCGAGAGGTTGAGGGGGATGTTGGCCATAGAATAGAGCTGAGCATGATGGCAAAAATGGAGGAGTGCATCCAAAGCCTTATGTAACAAACAAATACCACTTAAATTGAAAAGAAAATTTTATAAAACAATTGTAAAGCCAGCTATGTTGTATGGAACAGGATGTTGGGTAGTCAAGAAACAAAATCCAAAAAAATGTGGCAAAGAAGTGTACTTTGGGATGAATGAGTGGAAAAACTAAGAAGGATAGGGTTAAAAATGAAGTCATTTGAAAGAACCAGTAGCTCCAATAGATGATAAAATGAGAGAAAGTAGACTAAGAAGATTTGGCCATGCGCATAGAAGACCACCAATAGCACCCATAAGAAGAATTGATATGTTGCAAGTTCAAAAGGCTAGAAGGTCTAGGAGTAGACCAAAAAGCACATGGGTCAAAATAGTTAGAAATTATCTAAGTTCCCATAACAATGGATATGGCATTAAACAAAACGGAATGGTGAAACAGGATTCATGTTGTCAACCCCATATAGTTGGGATAAGGTTTGGATGATGATGATGATGATGAAGGTTAGCATTCGCCCTTGTGAATATTTGAAAGCAACCTTCATTTGAATAATAATAATAATAATAATAATAATAATAATAATAATGGACATGATTTGTAGTTTGGGTATGTAGAGAAAATAAAGGGTAGTTTTGTAATTCTACTGCATTTTATTATTCTTTCCTGTACTGTAATAGGTGTGTACATTAGTGTACAGCTCTTTTATTTTCTCTGTAAGGACAATCTTGTCCATTCACTTGAGTTTAATATAAATACATCTTTTCTGGGTTGGTTCGATTAGATTGATCAACCCTAACAGATCTGGACTTGTGTTTCTCTTCTAGCTCTTTCATCTTCTCACGAACTGACATGGTATCAGAGCAGGCTGCTCTTTGATCCATCTCTCTTCTTTCCTGAATCAGTTTGAAAGCTATTATCATTGTCGATTGGTTCTGAACTGTTTTGATCTTTCCAAGGACCATTTCCCTGTGTTTTGTGCATCTAGTAAGAGAGATTTCATTGGATCTCTCTCATATGACATCAGTTTGCAATAAGATTTGAAAGGAAGTGTCACCGAGCCCTCCTCATCATATTCTGAAATTTTT